TTCAAAATTCTAAACGAAATCTGGGCAAGACAGATTTCCAACAGAAGCGAACTGTGTAGAGGTGGGCGAGCAGGCGCCCCTCAAGCGGAAGTCTCAATATACACAACACATAAATGACACTTGATGAGTTTAACACACTGTAGTTGATGACTAGGAGGAGGAGGAGGATACCTCACAGTGCCGCCCTCATCCTCACAGTATCTCCCTCACAGTGAGGCTGACTCCATACACAGTTTCAAATGTAGATATGATAGAGCCCAATAGGCTCAGGAATCTGTACACCAGTTGATTGACGGTTGAGAGGCGGGACCAAAGAGCCAGAGCTCAACCCCCGCAAGCACAATTAGGTGAGTACAGTCTCCCACCCACTACCATGTAGCCTCGCTAACTGCTCTATAATCCAGCCCACTACCATGAAGGCCAAGCATCCAATCACTACTATGTAACCCCACCCACTGTCACAAAGCCCTACCCACTACCATGTACCTCCACCCATACCATGAGGCCTCATTACTACCATAAATCCCCAACTACTACCATGCAGCCCCACCCCATTACCATGTAGCCCAATTAAACCAATTAATCAAAATGCTATTCTATAGTTCCTCGAATTACTACAAAAAGTATTAATCCGTGAATTCAGATAGTAAACCTAGGAAATTATCAGTAAACTCACGTATGTTAAAGTAATTAACATCCACTAAGCTCACCGACCTTCTAGAATAGTCTGGTATTGATTACCTTCTCAAAGCTCTAGTTACAATAGTGCTATACTGTAACAGAATTATCTAAAGAAGGCGCCTAGCCCGGAAGACCATACATACAGATATACACATACGCATACTTTAACTAAGGCCAGAAACTGCCATACTAGAAAAAAATGATTGCGGCTCGCGAAATTGATTTTGTTCCATTTTCGGTTTGTGAGTCCTTTGGTAGGTTAGGTTAAGGCACTTTAGCACGACAGTTTCTTAAAGTTGAGAGCATTGGAGAGAACGGGCTGTTCTACTACGTGTGACTTGGCCGGACAAACCTATTTTGACAGTAGTGATACCAATAACATTAATAGTAGCAGTGGTAGGAGTAGTAGTTAGAATATTAGTATTATAAATAGTCGTATTAGCCTAGTTACTGCGGTATGATAGTCGTATTAGCCTAGTTACTGCGGTATGATAGCCTAGTTACTGCGGTATGATAGTCGTATTAGCCTAGTTACTGCGGTATGATAGTCGTATTAGCCTAGTTACTGCGGTAATGATAGTCGTATTAGCCTAGTTACTGCGGTATGATAGTCGTATTAGCCTAGTTACTGCGGTAATGATAGTCGTATTAGCCTAGTTACTGCGGTATGATAGTCGTATTAGCCTAGTTACTGTGGTATGATAGTCGTATTAGCCTAGTTACTGCGGTATGATAGTCGTATTAGCCTAGTTACTGCGGCAATGATAGTCGTATTAGCCTAGTTACTGCGGTATGATAGTCGTATTAGCCTAGTTACTGCGGCAATGATAGTCGTATTAGCCTAGTTACTGTGGTATGATAGTCGTATTAGCCTAGTTACTGCGGCAATGATAGTCGTATTAGCCTAGTTACTGCGGTATGATAGTCGTATTAGCCTAGTTACTGCGGTAACGATAGTCGTATTAGCCTAGTTACTGCGGTAACGATAGTCGTATTAGCCTAGTTACTGCGGTATGATAGTCGTATTAGCCTAGTTACTGCGGTAACGATAGTCGTATTAGCCTAGTTACTGCGGTAACGATAGTCGTATTAGCCTAGTTACTGCGGTATGATAGTCGTATTAGCCTAGTTACTGCGGTAACGATAGTCGTATTAGCCTAGTTACTGCGGTAACGATAGTCGTATTAGCCTAGTTACTGCGGTAATGATAGTCGTATTAGCCTAATTATTGCAGCAATGATAGCCGTAGCCTAATTACTGCGGCAATGATAGCCGTAGCCTAATTATTGCAGCAATGATAGCCGTAGCCTAATTACTGCGGCAATGATAGCCGTAGCCTAATTATTGCAGCAATGATAGCCGTAGCCTAATTATTGCAGCAATGATAGCCGTAGCCTAATTATTGCAGCAATGATAGCCGTAGCCTAATTATTGCAGCAATGATAGCCGTAGCCTAATTATTGCAGCAATAATAGCCGTAGCCTAATTATTGCAGCAATGATAGCCGTAGCCTAATTATTGCGGCAATAATAGCCGTAGCCTAATTATTGCAGCAATGATAGCCGTAGCCTAATTATTGCAGCAATGATAGCCGTAGCCTAATTATTGCAGCAATGATAGCCGTAGCCTAATTATTGCAGCAATGATAGCCGTAGCCTAATTATTGCAGCAATGATAGCCGTAGCCTAATTATTGCAGCAATGATAGCCGTAGCCTAATTATTGCAGCAATGATAGCCGTAGCCTAATTATTGCAGCAATGATAGCCGTAGCCTAATTATTGCAGCAATGATAGCCGTAGCCTAATTACTGCGGCAATGATAGTCATAGCCTAATTATTGCGGCAGCAGTAATATCTTTATTTAATAACATATCACTGAACAGTAATTGCTGCAATTACATGTGTATTTTTCATTCAGATCACTTGACTTTTTCCATAAATTACTCAAACCACCGGACCATGTTGTTACAGCTAACTCAAACAATTGAGTGAAATAACTGAACAGAATATTAAGTATATGAAATTACAGCCTATCCTCCTCTCTTGGTAGTACTTATAGTAACAAGGAGGCTCATAGTATATATAGGAGGACCATAGTATATATAGGAGGACCATAGTATATATAGGAGGCTCATAGTATATATAGGAGGACCATAGTATATATAGGAGGACCATAGTATATATACAAACCTACAACGAAATTAGAAACTAGAAATCTGAACTATTGAGTTGGTCAAGCTGGGAAACTAATTTTGACTTGTGTTGGTTTGACAATCTGAACTTAGCCTTCCTAGGCCTAATACACGATATCTGAGGCCTAATACACGATATCTGAGGCCTAATATAGTACATATGTGTGCTATACTAGGCCTAGGAATATTTAAGTTTGTTTTTAGCTTCATTTTTTTAAGAATAACTTATTAGTCAGTATACTACTGTTTAAAAGCCAATTGACGACTGTCACAATAGGTACTATCTAAACAAGAGGATGGGTTGGTCAGCGGGTACTGAGGGCAGAGGGTACCCACTTCTCCCAATACTGGGAACAATTAGTCCGGGGCGGTCCTGCTCTATCAGGTATCATAATTGCTTTGATAAGAAGGCAGTCCTCGTGGCGCAGTGGTAAGACACTCGTACGGCCCTTCGCAAACGATTTGGCCTGGGTTCGTATCCTGGCAGGCCTGGGTTCGTATCCTGGCAGGCCTGGGTTCGTATCCTGGCAGGGGAGGATTGACTGGGCTCCAATCCTGAACTGTACGCCTCTCATCGCCCAGAAGTGATTGGGTCTGGATGTGTAACAATTTGGCGGGTCGTATTCCAGGGAAAACTAGGATTAAGGACCTGCCCGAAAGGCTACGCATGCTATAGTGGCTTCACAAGAATGTAACAACTCTTGTATATATAAATAAATATATAAAAATGAGCCACCGGAGATATGTTATGGATGACTTTGTAGGCGTGGCTGCCTTACGTCTCTATGGCTCCTTGCAACATCTATTACTCAAGCCGTCACTATGGCTCCTTGCAACATCTATTACTCAAGCCGTCACTATGGCTCCTTGCAACATCTATTATTCAAGCCGTCTCTATGGCTCCTTGCAACATCTATTGCTCAAGCCGTCACTATGGCTCCTTGCAACATCTATTGCTCAAGCCGTCACTATGGCTCCTTGCAACATCTATTACTCAAACCGTCTCTATGGCTCCTTGCAACATCTATTGCTCAAGGCGTCACTATGGCTCCTTGCAACATCTATTACTCAAGCCGTCACTATGGCTCCTTGCAACATCTATTACTCAAGCCGTCACTATGGCTCCTTGCAACATCTATTATTCAAGCCGTCTCTATGGCTCCTTGCAACATCTATTGCTCAAGCCGTCACTATGGCTCCTTGCAACATCTATTACTCAAACCGTCTCTATGGCTCCTTGCAACATCTATTGCTCAAGGCGTCACTATGGCTCCTTGCAACATCTATTACTCAAGCCGTCACTATGGCTCCTTGCAACATCTATTACTCAAGCCGTCACTATGGCTCCTTGCAACATCTATTACTCAAGCCGTCTCTATGGCTCCTTGCAACATCTATTACTCAAGCCGTCTCTATGGCTCCTTGCAACATCTATTACTCAAGCCGTCTCTATGGCTCCTTGCAACATCTATTACTCAAGCCGTCACTATGGCTCCTTGCAACATCTATTGCTCAAGCCGTCACTATGGCTCCTTGCAACATATATTACTCAAGCCGTCACTATGGCTCCTTGCAACATATATTACTCAAGCCATCACTATGGCTCCTTGCAACATCTATTACTCAAGCCGTCTCTATGGCTCCTTGCAACATCTATTACTCAAGCCGTCTCTATGGCTCCTTGCAACATCTATTGCTCAAGCCGTCACTATGGCTCCTTGCAACATCTATTACTCAAGCTTTAAATCACTCGAATTTGCAGTCGTATCGGATTTTGTTGCTGACGTTCCCAATACAAAATTTAAATCCCGATTCAATACTGGATTTTTTCCCCCTATGATAGGTTGAAGAGCAGAAATATACTGAGTATATAGAGTTTAGTTTAATATATACCATATAGGTATAGAGCTGTTAACTCTTGGGTACGGGTTGGCATATAGTAGAGCAGGTAGAGGGTAAGGAAGGGACAGGCAGACAGGAGGCCTATGGTGGTAAAATATGACAGGTCTCCTCTTGCAGAGAACCTTCAGCAGATCGATGCCAGAAGAGGGCGGCCAGACACCCACCAGCCTGGCGGGGCCATCACACATCACCAACAGAAAGAAACTTGCGGGTCGCTATACTCACCATTTTTGTAGCTTTACGAATGTCCCGTTATCGAAAGGAAGAACTAGCAGGATGTGTGTGTGTGTGTAGGGGGGAGGGAGCTGTAGTGCCCTGGGCTTGCAAGAACTATGAGAAGCAGCCCTCGCAACACTCACGGCTTAACTGCTCGTTGGCTCCAGGGTGGGGCGCTTTTGTGGTCCGGTGGGCGGTGCGCGCGCCGCCACTCCCATATACTCTTCCTCCCCATTAACTACCATTATCCACACTATAGCCCATTTACCAAACCAATTACACTATTTACTCAAAATTTATAATTATAATACCTTGTTGGAAACAGATTAATGCATGATTTTAAAGCCAAAACTGTATTTTTTCATATGGAAATGAATACGATCAGGGAGACCGAAAACTGCTTTCCAATAATGAACACCGAGCGCCTGAATTTTAGTCTGGATTTCCTCCATAGATTACCGATACTATATAAAAAATTCATGATCACGTGGAGACATTATGGGCCTTCCAGAACCAGGGAAGGAGACGGAGGGAGGGGGAGAGGATACATGTAGTAGATAGGCCCTTAGCCCAGTCTCCCCTCACCCCAGACCTCACCCCCCTGCTGGGGGAGGAGGAGGCAGGGACACGCCCTTACTGGTACACGCTACACACACCTGACCAATTGACTGACGGCGTGTGAGTGCTCAATTATGTATATTCAGCAAGCGGGAGGTGTATTGGGTGTGGCGCGCCTCAGTAGGCTGGCCTCTGGCCTGAAAAATATTATATATATCACTTTTCTCTCTCTCTCTCTCTCTCTCTCTCTCTCTCTCTCTCTCTCTCTCTCTCGTTTTTAAGAATGAACTTTTCGCAAAATTTAATTCGTTTGCTAATTTGCTAGATATTAATCTTCATGACTAGTTAAGCCCATCCGCGAATAATGATAGTATTAATAGCGACTATCTGGTCAAATACTTAAGCCTAATATAGTATACGTATAACTTATAAGAACATAAGAACAAAGGCAACTGCAGAAGGCCTATTGGCCCTTAACTTATATGCTATATTAAGCCTAGGAACATTTGGATTTGGCTTTTTTCTGTGCCCTCTATAAGACTAATAATACCAGACATGTACATTATTGGCGGCAATGGTTTATTTTTGTACGTTTGACCAAATACTTTCTATAATGTACTATCACATTAGGTAGATGGGTTGAGTTATTTGCATATTTTATTTATTTATTTATTTATATACAAGAATGAACATTATGTTTGTGAGAATACATAACACTGGTGTTTTTACATTCTTACAAAGCCACTAACATGGATAGCGTTGGAGGCAGGTCCTTTATCTAAGAGACAAGGTAAAATTAGGTGCAGTGGAGCAAAATTTGAGTTCCACATAATAACTACAATACAAATTGATGAAGAGGATTAAACTGGGGAAGTTTCATGTCTTAAGTACTCACATTGAGGCAATGGTCAGTACAAGATACAGTATGAGCTTGAAGCACAAGGTAGGAAACTATAAGGATGAAATTAGGTACTTTTTGTGTTCTACAAATTGATGGACAATTTGTTTAAGTCATTAGGGAGTGAGTTCTGTAGACTGGGTCCATTTATTTGCATGGAATGTTTGCACAGAGTTAGTTTGACTCTTGGGGTATCAAAGATATATTTATTTCTGGTGTGCTCGATGTTATATTAATTATTATCTATTATTTCTGGTGTGGTCATTTGTTTTACTAATTGATAATAAAGATATTCTAAATCGATAAGAAATTAAATGTTTTCGTATTATCGGGAACAACTAGGAGGCCTGTTAAGGTTATAGAGACAGTTGACACTCCACAGGATACAATACACAACAGTTGGCTTCCTCCTTGGGTATCTATCTACTATACTAGGTGAATCACATGAACAAATCCACAACGGCCGTGACGAGGATTCGAACCTGCGTCCGGGAGCATCCCAGACGGTGATTCACATGTTAAACGTACCCTAATGCCTACCCTGCCCGGGAACTCAACCTCTGGTCTAAATAGTTGTAAGAACAATAAACCAAACTACCAAATGACATAGAAAAAGTTGTTAAAAATTACCAGTTAGCGCGCCATCTTCCTCCGTCATGTCGCAAGATGTTATAAACAATGGAATGGCTTCCTTGTTAACCAATCATATGCCTATAAAACCGTCAATTACCATAATATGCCAAGCTCTGGAACATCAGAACGTATGCCAAATGCAGTTTTGGTGAGCAACTTCCGTTAATTACACAAAAAAAAAAAAAAAGAATTGTGGTGATAAGAGAGCATGAAGAGGAAGCCAGAGCCGTGAGGGAGGAACGAGACGCAAGACAAGTGCGGGAAGTGAGTTGATGAGGTGGATGAGCCAATGGTTGTAATAGTGGTCATATGGCCCACGCCCATGGTCCTTAGACCATGGGGTCTGCCCACGCCCATGGTCCTTAGACCATGGGGTCTGCCCACGCCCGTGCTCCTTAGACCATGGGCTCTGCCCACGCCCATGCTCCTTAGACCATGGGGTCTGCCCACGCCCATGCTCCTTAGACCATGGGGTCTGCCCACGCCCATGCTCCTTAGACCATGGGCTCTGCCCACGCCCATGCTCCTTAGACCATGGGGTCTGCCCACGCCCATGGTCCTTAGACCATGGGGTCTGCCCACGCCCATGCTCCTTAGACCATGGGGTCTGCCCACGCCCATGCTCCTTAGACCATGGGGGTCTACCCACGCCCATGCTCCTTAGACCATAGGGTCTGCCCACGCCCATGTTCCTTAGACCATGGAGTTGGGAGCCAGTCGGCCGAGCGGACAGCACGCTGGGCTTCTGATCCTGTGATCCTGGGTTCGATCCCAGGCGCCGGCGAGAAACAATGGGCAGAGTTTCTTTCACCCTATGCCCCTGTTACCTAGCAGTAAAATAGGTACCTGGGTGTTAGTCAGCTGTCACGGGCTGCTTCCTGGGGGTGGAGGCCTGGTCGAGGACCGGGCCGCGGGGACACTAAAGCCCCGAAATCATCTCAAGATAACCCTGGAGTCTGCCCACGCCCATGTTCCTTACACCACGGGGTCTGCGGAAACCTTGCACTACAATAAAATGGACCATTGCACAACAATGACAAAAAGTAATACTATAGAGGAAACAGTAGAATACATCATACAATACGCTATATATATATATATATAGTTGATATATACGCTATAATATAGCACATGGCGAGTGTTTCTTGCTTGTGACTATGGCAACCCTGTGTTGATACCGTTACCATGACTCAGTGTAATAGTTGATAGGCTACTTATAATTGTATATCGAATGTCCGCCCAGCTGTCTTACTCTCGTATGTGTGTGTGTGTGTGTACCTGTGTTTTAAGATTCGAGAGCTCTAGCTCTCGGGCTCTACCTCCTAGTTAGACTTGGTAGTTAGCTAGACTTGTAGTAATAGCTAGACTTGCACCAGGCAAGTCTTGCCACCAACTAGTCCTCTATCGAATCTGATCTTAAAGCTGTGAGCGTAGAGCAATTGCACCTCTGTTTTATGTTTGCCTGTTTGCAGGGCTGGATTGGGAGCCCAAAACGGCTCGGGCAAACATCTAAAAATCAGTTAATGTGGCGTATGATTGTGTCGAGCGCAGCGGTTTCATTAATAGATATTTGGAAGCCTCATGTAATGGGTACTAGAGCATATTCTAAGGTGGATATTAAGTACTCCATCCCTTGGCTTATGATTCAATAACTAAAATAGTCAATAACAAACAACGACTACCACAGGATGCAAACAGTTAAATGACTCCAGAGCCACGAGGGCACTGCAAGACTCAATAACAATAAGAAAACAACGTTGGCGTTGCGGAATCAGTTGACGAATAGCATACAAAATTGCTTATTTTGGAAAAGTTCCGCCGTGAAGATCGTAGTCTCCGGAGGCGAGCAGGACATACAGCTATGGCCAGGAAAGACAACGGAGTAGCCTACACCGTCGACACATTTTGATGGGTTTACAGCAGTCAATAGGGCAATGGAGCGGGAGTGCGAAGACAGGAGCTCAAGGGGAAAGGTTTATAACCGTATTAGAGGGTAGAAGCCTTTACCACGCGGCTCAAGGACTTGTACAATTTTGCAAGTGGGGTCCTCCAAGGGGGGCAAGGCTAGAAGAACACGAGGAGAGACAAATGTGAACCGAGAGGGAATCGTGCAAGTGAGACATCCATACAAGAGAAGGAGGTGATGGAGGAGAACTAAGGCCAACATGAGTGGTATAGACAAGAGCGAGGATGTTGCAGGGATCGTGTGAGGTAGTGAAGGCATTAACCATCACCACGATTCTATAAAGGACGCCTGAGTCATCATAAAAGCTCTGCGTAGGGGACGAAAGACAGATAGAGCTGAGGTGTAACCTAGTGTGGTGCAGAGCATCAAGGTGATGAAGAATCGAAGGAGAGGAGGAGGAGTAGGCGAGACAGCCATAAGAGCTCAGACAGCACGAGGGTGTAGTACAAATAGTGGAGCATCTATCAGCTCATCACGGGCTCACCATAGCCCGTGCTACTGGAACTTATTGTTCTGAGTAGCGAATCTTAAGCAACAACATCAGCTCATCACGAAGTATTGGACATGGCTTTAAGTGAGGTAAAGACCTTAGATCATTCAGCTCACTGAGAAATATGGGACGACTAAGACTAACCAGTGTCAAACATGAACCCCAAATGTTTAGTAGAATCTTTATAAAGGAGGGAATTGCTATAGAGCAACAATGGAGGATGAAGAATGACCAGCTACTGCATAAGTCATAACACAAGTCCTAGTTGTAGAGAACCTGAAGCTGTAATTGGTGGCACAGGACGACACGACACCAATAGGCAAGTTGAACAATTGGGATAAAATATTATATCTCCAGGTGGTGTCACGAGACTTATCCAGATCAAAATGAGGGGCAACAAGGAGTTCTTGGCAGCTAAGACACCAGTCATACTGATACTCTAGCTGCGATAGGTAAATTAAGAGGGGAAGACTGGCAATAATGTTCTAAGACTTACATTACATGTACATTAACCATACGTCCAAAAAGCCAGGATAATGGGGGAAACCCATAGGGAACATGTGGAAGTGAACGCCGTGTGAGCCCGCCTCTGTAGAACACCAGAGGGGCGGGACAGGCCG